ATCTGGAGAGCGGCGCTCATATCTTTTTCAGTAAAAGAAGGCATTCTGAATTGATTGGCGTTAGTTTGAAATTAATTGGAATTAAATTGGTAGAGTTGTGACTGTTTAAAGTATATATAAATTGGGTGGCTGGGTTAAAAGTGAGGTGGCCGGTCTGTGGGGGTGGCCAGTCTTTGGGTGACGGACGTTAGGTCTCAGACAACGCCCTCAGATATCAATTAATATGTTGTAGATATGTTACATCATCATTTAAAGCTTATCAATTGGGTGCTGACATGGCGCGTTCCAGAATTCTGGATTCTTAGTGCACAATAGCTACGTACCATTCCGTCTAAATTGACAAGGGTTTAGACCAACACCATAAAAAAGTCCCTGTAGCATGAGCTCTTCCGATGCTCAAACCAATAACCGCGCTTTGATTATAGCAGTCTGAGACCCTTTGTAAAAGACCCCTGCTAATCAGAATGTCGCAATCAACATTGATCCAACATTAGCCACTCAACAACCAATGGCCTTGAGGCGATGTCACTAACACTTGTAGCCGCTAACACAAGTTCCTGGTGGAATCGGGAGAGGCGGATTTCAAGTGCGGCTCTTCCGAGGATACAATCGATAGCGCAACATGGAGGCATTGCTCGATGAGGCAAAGGCCAAGACGTTTCTAGCCTCGGGGACCTGAGGCGACAGTTCAACGCTAACGCCTCCACGATATGCGCGCGGGAGGGTTACAGAACTGGGACGCGGCTAGTACGAAAAGAGCAGGAGAACAGGGTTTCGGTATGTTGCAACGGGACCACGAGGGTCCAACTCCCCCAGAGGCAAATGTCCAAGAAGGGAATTGATCTTGCAAAAGGACCTCGAGAAACTGGGAACTCAATGAGACGCGGCCGACGTCTCTGGTCCTTATCGCCGTGGTACCCGATATCGAAGTTCCAGAACCAACGGATGTTACATTCGCTCATCGTGTAATGCGATGGTATCACCGACGATGTGGTTTTAGATAAAGATGCGTTGCTGCCCCATGTGTAGATTGACTCTGCAGCCCAGATAATTTGAGCCAACTGTGGATTGTTACACAAACGACATCAAACCCCTCTTTACCATTACCAGGAAGAGGACAGCTCAAGCATGTCGTCCACAAATGTCGAGCCCAAGGGGCCTCACGGCCCCGAGGATACCTTCGAGACCTCGGTCTTCCCTGTCCCTAGCCCGACGGACATCGATGAGAAGAGTGACGCAAAGAACGCTGTTCTTGGCCCCGAGGTTCACGATGCATCCCATACCGATGAAAGCGACAGCGATAGCAAAGATGCCATTATTGTTACCGGTGCTGATGCCTCTCGCCACTTGCTCCCGATGAGAGACGACCACGATAGCGCTTTGACGTTCCGAAGTATTCTTTTGGCCTCCGGCCTTGCTTGTTTCCAAGCTGTCATGTACCAGATCTACACTGTTCGTGACTCTTCATCCTTCAACTTCTGTGGGACGTCATCTAATATGATCAACTATAGTTCAAACCCACCATGATCACCATCCAGGGTACCTTTATCGTCCTTATCTCCTACTTCATCGGCAACGCTTGGGCCTTTGCCCTCCCCCGCGGCGACAACTTCGAAGCTCGATGGAGAGCCAAGGGCAACACTGGTTCACTGCCCTTCCTGATCAAATTCATTAAGTTCATCAACCCTGGACCTTGGGGTCTCAAGGAACACGCCATCTGTGCCATCACAGCCACCTCTGCATCTAATGCCGCTGCAAGTGTTCAAGTATTTGCGGCTCAGGATCTCTTCTACAACATGCCGTTGAGCCCAACTACTGTTATTCTGAGTACCATTTCTATTGGTCTGTTCGGTTATGGTCTCTGCGGTATTATGCGTCCAGTTGCCGTCTGGCACGTCGATGCTGTCTTCTGGAGTAACTTACCAACTGTCAAGACTCTCCAGGGTCTCCACTGGCAGGAGGTCAAGGACTCTAAGCCTCTTCGAGTCTTCTGGTACAGTTTCGGTGGCATGTCCCTTTATGAGTTCTTCCCTGCCTACATCTTCCCCTGGCTCAACTCAGTCTCGGTTCCTGTAAGCTACACCCTCATTGGTTATACTTTACTCTTGCTAACCGCTTTGCGAAGTGCTTGGCTGCCATGAAGGCGACCGGAAACACTGCCAAGAACCTCACCCGTGTCTTTGGTGGCGCTACTAACAACGAGGGTCTTGGCCTCTTTAGCGTTTCTCTGGACTGGCAATATGTAAGTTAGTCTAAACACCAATATGAAACTTGAGCTGACAGGTATAGATTACCTCTTTCAACACCTCTCTTCCTCTGCCCCTACAAGCTCACATGGCTGTTGGATTCGTGGTCTGCTATATCGTCATGGCTGGTATCTACTACGGAGATGGTTGGGGAGCCAAGTCCCTGCCTTTCATGTCTACTCGACTCTTGTTGGCCAATGGTACTACCTACCCCGTTGCTGAGGTTTTCGAAGGCGGAGTCCTCAACGAGTCACGCCTGTTGGAGTTTGGTCTTCCCAGATTGACTGGTACCTTCGCTTACGCCATGTTCATGGCCAACGCTGCTGTAAGTCACCCACTCTACCTTGATCGTACCAAAAGCTAAACTTGCAACAGATCGGTGCTCTCATCCTTCACTGCATCCTCTTCTGGGGCAAGGACGTCGTCAAGGCTTTCAAGAGCGCCAGGGAAGGACGATATGACGACCGCCACCACGAGCACATGGCCAAGCACTACAAGGAAGCTCCATGGTGGTGGTATGTCACTGTCCTCGTGGGAAGCTTTGTTCTCGGCTTGATCGTCGTCATCAAGGAGAACATTACTCTCCCTGCTTGGGCTTACGTGGTCTCACTCATCATGGGTTCCATCATTGCACCAGTCGTAAGTTAAAAAGGTCCATGATATAGCCAGCAGAACTGACCTTTGTTCTAGAGCACTCTCCTTTACTCTCGTTATGGAAACGGTATTGCGACCAACAACCTTTCCAAGATGATAGCTGGTCTTATGCTTCCTGGCAAGCCTGTCGGTAACATGTACTTTGCTGCATGGTCTCACAACGTCATCTCCAACGCTGTCAACCTGTCTGGTGATCTCAAGATGGGCGAATATCGTGAGTTTTACTCATCAATCTTACCAAGTCTATACTAACTAGGATACAGTCAAAATCCCTCCTCGTGTCATGTTCCTCACTCAAATCTGGGGAACTATTCTTGGTGGCTTTATCAACTACGCTATCATGATCAGCATCGTCGGCAGCAACCGAGACCTCCTTCGTGACGGCGATGGTAACTCGTCCTGGAGTGGTGCTACCATGCAATCTTACAACACCAACGCAACCTCTTGGGCTCTTGCTGGTTATCTTTACAAGCTTGGTGGTACTTATGAGCTCGTTCCTTTCGGTCTGCTTGTTGGTGCCGGTTTGGTTGTGCTCCACCGAATCTTTTACAAGGTACATTTCCCCGGTCATCAACTTTTGTAACAACCGACTAACAGTTTCCAGTTTTACCCCAAGATCAAGAACTTTGACGTTGCCGATGTCAACTTCCCCCAGTTCATCCAGTTCGCTGGTTATATTCCTTACAACCAGAGTCAGACTTGCGTTATCCTGAGCCAGATTCTCTCCGGCTTCTTCGTCCAGTTCTACCTCCGAAACTACCGACCTCGCATCTTCAGGGACTACTCTTACCTTGTCACTGGTGCTTTTGACGGTGCCAGTCTGACAGTCCTCTTCATCCTCTCTTTCGCCGTGTTTGGAGCTGGTGGCCCAGGACATCCTTTCCCAAGCTGGTGGGGAAACAACGTCAATGGCAATTATGATCTTTGCCCTGTCCCTGAGTAGTCGAGAAGTACTCAAAGTTTTGGGTCCGGTGGTCTGGAAATGTGCCTGGAATTTGCCTGTGCATTGTTTAAACTCGTACTTTAGCCTCTGTACCTTATACCCCAGCTAGCTATTTCGAATCAAATGTTCATTCAAGTACATGTGTCATTTATCGTGAAAGCTTTCTTCTTTGAGATGTTTGGCTTTGAGTCACCCTCGACCGCCAGTTACTGACAAAGTCCCCTGAGGAATAGCCTACGAAAAGTCCCATACAATCTCAGCCCCGGCAATGCTTGCCATTCTCCGACGTCCTGACCTACTGCTGCCATAGCTCCTGTTACTTACCGGTCCTGTCTTGTAAGGGAAGTTTGATCGTCGTTCTTGTTCCCATCATTCTCTGACCGCGTGGCCTTAGCTTCCTCCTGAGTCTCATCCCTTTCCCTCAAAGTGTACCATTCTCCTCTCTTTTCAATGTCAGAATGCTCTTGATACGCCCTATCGATAGCATCGCGAATCTTCTCAGTGAAGACAACCTTCTTCTTGTGCCTAATGAGTACTCCCACGAACTCCTTCCGCGTCTCCTCTCGAGCTCGTGGATACTCTCTGAAGATACTGAGAAACAATTTCTCTGTGATTGAGAGGGATGACGTATGCGTCAAGACTATATCTAACATCAAAGGTTTGGCACCAAGCATGATCTTTTTAACGTGGCTTGGTGAGAGCTTAATATCTGAGTCAGACTGCAAAACAAGTGCCAAAATATCCGCCTGATTGCCGGAATATTCAGTCCCCTTTTCGCAAATCCATATCGCGATATCTTGCAACTTTCCGTGAGCTGGACCAAGGCGCTCAAGTAAGAACTTAAGCTGGAGCAACGATGTGGTTGCTTTCAGCATGCCGTCAGTGACCAGAAGTGACGAGTTTCGAGGCCAGATTGACAAGAGAAGCTCAGTATTCTCTTCCGGTTGACCCCACCTTCTGTAAGGCGAGTTCATTGACAATATTTTAATCACGAGACCCTCCGTTACTTCGACGCCGGGCTGATACTCTATGAGCGCTTTCAGGGTCCCGAGATCTGTTTGAGACTCGAGCATATCGGGGGTGATGTGAACTGAAAGCTCGCGAGCCTTGCTAAGACTATTGAAAGCATGCTTTGAGAGGCCAATGTTCAGCATCCTTGGAGTTAATTCCAGTCCCCCACTATGATCAAAAAGAACCTCCAGGTTTTCCTGACTTGGCCGTCTCTCTTCGCTGAGGAAACGAATGATAAGATCTTCGGACACTGGCTTTTCTCCTCTCTTGACAAGGAGAAAGGACAGTAAATCACTGGGCTCTAACCGAGCTGCAGCTATGATGTCGCTATCTGTGATATCGAGTGTTGTTGAGTGCTGACAAATGAGTCGGGGTATCTTCTGGCTTACACCATAACCGCTACGAGAAGCTGCAGACTGGAGCGCCAGCGCAAGAGCAGTGTCTCAGTTTGCGTCTTTCAAAGCGGGTGAGGCACCGTGTTGAAGCAACTGGAGAACAAGTGACTCATCGCTGTACTGACATACCAAGTGTAATGCTGTACCATGAGTTGCATGTACATAGTTGACGTCGACCCTCTTTTCCAGGATCAGTGATATGATGCCCCTGTTGTTTCCCTGTAAAGCTGAAAAGAGGGGAGTCTTGAAGCTTCCCGTGGTTTTATCCAGGCTGGCTCCATGTTCGATCAAAAGCTTAGCGATTTCGAAGCTGCCAATGAAAGAAGCCAGCTGGAGCGGGCTCTCCGGTTCATCTGTTCCATTATCAGCAGTGGCACCGTACTCAAGTAGAATTCGAACAATGTTGGTGCATCTCTGTGTAGTTCGGTAGTCCACCACCTCTGAATTCAGGTACTTTTGGTGTCTCGTTCCACGTTGCTCCAATTGCTGTTGCAATGGTGATGCGCAAGCCCATAGCGTTAGCGTAATTGGGTCTCCCGGCTGAGACGATCTCGCTCGGACGTTTGCGCCTCGTTGTAACAATAGCCGTATAACTTCAAAGTTCAAGTAGTAGCAAGCCACTTGCAACGGGCTATCCTCCTCTTCATTGCTGCCATCGACACTCATGCCTTGTTGAATTATTCTTCTCACCAGAGGAACAGAACCTGAGGAACACGTGAAGAGAAATCTTTTGGGAGTCGGGGGCACATAGTCAAGTAGAAGATTGAGTGTTCTGTAGTCAGTAGACTTTCCCATTGTGAGTGAGTCCAAGGTTTCGTCGATGATCTCAGATGGATCCACCCCGTCAATGAACAGCTGTTCAAGAAGCGCCTCAACAATGGAAAGATCTCCGCTTCTGCATGCTTCTTGAAGGCTGGAACTGTCGACTTTTGCGCCAGCCGCAATCAGTTCATTGATCATTTGAAGACCTGTATTCCCTCCCACAGCACTCGAAAGAGCACCAGTAGATTTAGAAACATCTGCACAAGATTCAAGAAGCAGTCTTACTATGCGCAAATCTGCTTTTTTAATCGCTGCTAGCAGAGGTGTTCGGCAGTCACAGTCATCGACTTCAATGTTGACGTCAGCGCCTTTCGACAAAAGCATTTCGACGAGGTTGACATAGCCTCCAGAAATAGCAGCATGCAAAGGACTCGCATCTCGAGCCTCTATACTTGTCACATTCGCTTCCTTGTGGCCCCGGACATTGACTAGAGCATTGGATTCTAGTAGCAGCTCTGTCATGGCGTGGTCTCCTTTTTGACAGCTTATGATAAGAGGATGTTGGAGGCGGCCCTCTTCATTAATCAGTGAGGGGTCTGTCTCGAGGAGTAGTCTTGCGATTTCTGTATGTCCTTCTTGTAGAGCCATCTGAAGCGTGCTTGATGATACAGCTTCCCTCTCGTTCTCTGACTTTCGTTCCGTTTGGAACTTCAACTTAGAATCTGCGCCATGTTGAAGCAGAAGCTCGACGATGTTGAGGTGACCACCGACAATGGCCGCGCGCAGGGATGTGTGCCAACGACCCTGTATCACATTTGCGTTTGCTCCCTTGTTCAATAGGCTCTGGAAAATCTGTAGCTGGCCAGTCCGTGCCGCAGCCTGTAGAGCACTCCCGTAGTAGTATCCCGTGGCGTCAATGTCGACTCCTCGAGATAAGAGCAACTCGACAAGAGGAGCTTTGCCGAGAACACAGGCCATCTGAAAAACTAGCTCATATCTTGTGTCTTCCAGCTTGCTTGTATCATACTTCTGTACAAGGAACTCGAGTACCGCTCCTGGTCCTTGTTCGAAGACGTACTCCAAAGACGGGGCCTGTAAAAAGCGGCCGTCTGGGTCAACGATAATGCTATGGAAGGTCTGTCGCTCTCTATCACCTTCAAAGAACGCGAGAATTTTAGCTAGAAGAACCTTGCCTCCATCACAATAGTCTGGAAGTTGGTGACCACTGTCCAATAGTCTTGTTGTAGCCGCCATAGCTTCCATTTCTCTCTGCACTGCTCCCATAAGAGCCGAGTCTCCTTTTCCGGTAAGCTTGGCATCTGCTCCAGCTTCAAGCAGCTCTTTTACCACGACATCTGGACGGACTCTCGCTGCATATTGAAGAGGATAAACATCCTTTCCGCCTAGACTGTTCGGATCGGCCCCTAGCTTCAGCAGTGTTTGGATGACTTTCTGCTGCTGAGGCATTGTTTTCTCTCTATAATATCTCGCATAGTAGGGCAGTTTATAGCTATCAAAAGCGCTCAGGCCGACTTGCAAAGGACTGACAAGACGGGGGCCGTCGGTCGACCGTGAGCCACCTGCTTCACCAGTGACAGTTATAGGGGCACTGGCAAGGCGAGGGTCGACAGACTGCCTCCAACGTCTCAGATACCTGGGTTTCTCGTCTTCTGGAACGTTGGCGTTGACATCGATACCAAAGTCGGATACGAGATACTCGATGATGTCAGGCTGTCCCTTGCTACAAGCCGCATAGACCAATCGGCGTAGAAGGAGTTCGGAATGAGATTCATCGACCTTTTGAGAAAGGAGAAACTTCAATGTCTCAAGATCCTTTCCAGCAGCGCCTATCAGTGTGTTTTCGGGAATTGAAACGCCTTGTAAATCACAACTAAGATTAAGCAAGCTCTTGATTACTGAGACGTGACCCTCCTCTGCAGCTTTGTGGAGGCCTTCCAGGAGATCGTTGTATTGCAGTAGTTGCTGGTGTTTGCAACCCATGATAGCCTCCATAACGGCTACATTACCAGAAGTGCAGCATGCCAGAAAGTCTGCTTTCAGAGCATGTGGCTCAATCACCGCGACTTTGTACTTTTCTTCTCCTGGTGGAAGTTTCAGCCTCAACTGGTCAGTTTGTTCTGCCGTGCAGCCAACTTCAGACGCTTTGGCAAAAGTAAGCTGCAAGATATCGTGACGCCCTTGAGGTATGCTCTCCAAGGTTGCGTAGATGCGTTCAATAAAAGGACCCTTCATCCTCGATGCGTGATCGAGTAACATCTTAACGGTGCTCAAGTGTCCGTTGGAGGCAGCTGCCTTGAGAGCAGTACCAACCTCATAATCCCAGAATCCCAAACTTTCCTTTTGCTCCAGTAATACCTTGACAACTGCGTCCTTCCCTCCGGCAGCACTAGCTTCAAGAGGGCGGTTCTTCTGAGAACCGTCCTGGGTATCATCATCTCTACGGAGAAAATCCCCTTGATCATTAGCGAACATCTCCATTCCATCATCAGTCTCGACTCGAGTGATGTTGTCACGGGCATCTGTATCAGCGACATTTTCGGCCGTTTTGGCGTTCCGCTTGTAAAGGTGCGGCCACAATTTAGAGCGGGGGTGTTTATCCCTTCCAGGAGAAGCCTCCCGATATAGCGGCCTGTATGGCGAGGGTCGAGCTCTGCTGTACTTGGGACCGGGCGGCTCGTAAAGGAACTTGTAGCCTCGTTCCAGGAACAGCATAATGATCCCCTGATGCCCACCTTCAGCAGCGGCATGGAACGCATCTGGAGATGAACCTTCGGCATGGACATTCGCCCCCGCGTCAAGAAGCCTCTCAACAACAAGCTTGTGACCATAGTACGCTGCAGCTTGCAACGCTGTGCCAGAAGCCCCCGTTTTCTGGTGAAGATCTGCACCTTCTTCCAGCAGGATACTGAAAATATCTGCGTGACCTTTCACAGCGGCGACATAAAGAGCATTGCCTTTCCGCTCCTCTGTGTTGACATTGGCACCACGCTGGAGTAGCTCTTTGACCGTGGATTTGTGGTTCATCAAGCAAGCCGAGCGGAGTGGCGTGCCGAACTGACCTTCGGCTTCGATATCAAGACCTTGTTCCAGGAGATACCTGACGATATCTGTATGGCCATCGAGAGCCGCAATTGCAACCGCATCTTTTGGGAAAATGTCTTTCGCATCAGATGATGTTTTGGATAGCTGGCGTTGTAGTACAAACAACTGGCCACCTTTTATCGCCTTGGCCAACCGCATCTTGTTTTTGTCCGGGGTTTCCTTGTCTATAAAGCGCTTGAATTCTGGCCTGAGAAGCTGATAGATGACCCTGATGAAGCCATACTCCGTTGCCATCTGTATGACTTGCTCGTAGTCATCTTCGGAGTCAATAGTAGCATCGTGCCTAATGAGACCGAGCACGATATCTTCATGCCCTCCCTGAGATGCAGCTTGAACAGCACTCTGAAACTTCGAACCACATTTCGGAGATGCGTCGTTTTGAAGAAGCTTCTCAACAATCTCTTCATATCCTCTGAAACACGCAACATGCAACGGACTTCCGTATGCACCGCATTCGATGTTCAACTCTGCACCCTTCTCAATCAAAGTCGTCACAGTTGAGAGATGACCTGTAGCGACGGCGAGGTAGAGTGCGGTGTGCCCAAGGTCATTTCGTTGGTCCCAGTCTATATCACTCTCCGATTCTGAAAGAAGAGTCATCAGGCCGTCTATACCAAAGACAGCTGCTAAGAAGAGAGGAGATGATGTTTCGTTTTGTATGGCATCAAGAGCCGGCTTCATAGGGTGATCCCGCGGCAGGAGTGTTGCAATTTCCTTCGCAATTTCCAGCCAAGCTTCGAAGGAAAGGCTGACATCATAGTCTTCATCCTCAAAGACAAAAGACAGCGTGTCTTGAAATAGCCTCTCTTCCTTCTTGGCAACCTTTGAACTCTCAAAGTGGCTTGCCCAGTGCGTAGCAGCATAGAAGAAGAAGCCTTTGACTTGCTGTTCCAGGCTTCCGTTGTCAGGCGGTCCACGCGAGCTGGCCTTTATGCAGATCGATGCCAGAAGACTATGAGCTACTGGAGCGGAGAACAGAGATTGTTGGGTACGTATGAAGTATTCTCTGACTGAGTGATGAGCAAGTCGGACGATTTGGCGATTGAGGTCTATAATCACCAAGTTCGAGCACACAACAGATATGTCATACGTCGTGCAATGGACATTCCCTATGCTTGCGGTAGCGATGACAGCTAATAACGCCTCGGGAGTCAACGGTGCTTTCATGTACAGCAGCCAGGAGAAAGCTTGGATGGCTAGTTGTCGCGGTGTGTCTCCTGATTGTAGGATCTGTCCCAAGTCGTTCTCGTAAAGCTTGTCTAGATCTGAGAGAATGTTGGACCGTAGGGCCGGAAGAAGATCATGTTCGTTCTTGACCTTGCGAAGCTGCTGTATCTGTCGATGGACCCATAGAAACCTAGATCAAGTCACGTCGTCAGGCCAGTAATCGAAAGGTGAGTAAAAAAGAACTTACATTTCGCCCCCACCATGTAGCAACTCCTTTATCAGGCAGCTTCTTGTGTTTGGCGAGAGCCTCCCACTGATGAGTTTGGCGTCGTCAATCTTCCGAGTAATGAACCGGGCCATGTCATTGTGGACTTGGTCTGCTGCCACAACTATCTCTTTCGCAGTCGGTAGCGATGAGAGGATATCCGAGCTATTTCTGCTCGTGATAAACACTTTGGCAACATTCTCAGCCCTTGACATGATATCAGATAATGACTGCAAGAGAAGACCGCAACTCTCGTCTTCAACCTGCTCGACACCGTCGAGTAATATTGTGATGGGGTCTTCACGGGCCACTTGAACGATACGGTCTACACAGTCTTTCCTACTCAGTCTAGGAAGGTCCAGGCCCTGAAGAGTAGCAGACTTCGAACGATTCTGGAAGTCGGAGTATAGAAAGTCGCGAACATCGCTTTGACTTTCTGTAATCGTCAGCTGACGCAGGATACTACGGAGGATTCCGTCTGCTGAGGATCTCCCCAGTTCTGACTCGCTTTGGAGATCGTGCAATGATCCGAGACACCACCTCTAGGTCCTGAAACATGGTTCCATATTGTTGGACATCGTTAACCGTCACTTGAAGAAGCAGTCTGACAGCCGCCCAGGGCAGCGAAGCGTTGCTGGCATCAAACTGCACAGCCGCATCGCCGACTGCTTTGAAGGAATCAATCCATTTGGCGATCTTTTCCAGGACATCTCGGATAATCACGACTTCTCCATTTGAGCGTTTGAACTTCCAACGCTTGCGGAGACTGGTAGCTTTGCGGTTCTCCGCTGCTTCCAGAGCGGCGGCTAGAATGTCGCGCTTATGGGTGGCAGCCTGGCCAAGTGCTGTTTTTAAATCTGCGCTGAGGGAGCTGAAGGCTTGATCCCAGAGACTCTGCGCATTTTTATCACTTGAAGGAGCCATTTGCGTCGCCATGATGGTCTAACGAAACTGACGCTTCTTCGTTTCGCAGTATTACTCCGCTTCTAACTTAGTTTGCAGGTGCCCAGCCCGCGATGATAAAGACACCAAGTTTCAGCCGCAGACCTCGCGACGCTTGACTTTCTGGGCCGTGGCTTTAGGGGCTTGCCTTCACGCGGATGGGATGGCGTCCAGTAAAATGCTGACTGCATATGCTGGGTGTAACCAATAGATGCATTCTCAAGGCCACAGTCTCATCTATTGCGTTATCGGTCAGCTCGAGACATTGCGGGCTGTATGCTGGTGATGGCCATCGACAACAAGTCATGTAAAACCTCTACATGTTCGGTAATTATGCTCTAGTGCATAAGAGGTGGAATCAAGAACTCGGTGCGACTAAATTGCGGTTGGCGCCCAACCCTGAGCTTGTCCTGCTTCTCCAGCCAGGCAGCCAGGCGAGGGGACGCGAAAAAAGAGCGAGATTGTTCGCTTTCGGTCAACCGTCGGCCTCAAGCTAACTCTACAAAAGAAAGGTCGCGGCCTCGACAACCGACAATAGACTCCAACAATAAAGATTCTGTATTTAAAGAATTCCTCTAGTGAAACAACCATACCCGACCCTCTTCAATCTCCTAAACGCCATCTCACGCACCATCATGTCTTCACCAAAGACAGTCGCTTTCTTTGGCGCTAGCACAGGCGTAGGCCTCTCAGCGCTGAAGCATTCACTGGCTGCAGGGCATAACTGTGTCGCATTATGTCGAGTTCCGGCAAAACTCGAGGCTCATGTCTCCCCAAAAAGCTATCCAAATCTACAAATCATTGAAGGCAATGCCCACGACATCAAGGCAGTAGCTTCTTGTCTGAAGAAGGACGATGGTTCAATCGTGGATGCGGTTGTCTCCACGATCGGCAGCAAACCAATCATTCACAAAATGACGATTGATGATCCCAACTGCTGTCGGGTCGGCATCGCTGTCCTTCTTGATGCTCTCGCGCAAATACGTGCAGAGGGTGCCGTTGGAAGACCGCATATCACTGTCTTTAGCACCACTGGCATGTCAGACTTTGGGCGCGATTATCCCCTTCTGTTGTACCCTATCTATGCAATTGCTTTGAAGGTCCCCCACGAAGACAAAAAGATCATGGAGACCAAGTTGGCCGATAGTGGTGAGGACTTTACCATCGTGCGGGGCAGTTTGTTGGTGGACGGTGAGAGTGAAACGCCAGTGCGCGTGGGCATTGAGGACCCCAAGAACGGGATAGAGTCTTTGGAGATCGGATACACCATTTCAAGAGAGGACGCTGGGAAATGGCTGGCAGATAAATTGCTGGTAAAGACGCATGCTGAGTACGTCAACAAGATTGCATCCATCACCTACTGAGGGGTCCAACGGAATAAGGTGCATTTAGAAGGCGTTGGGAATTGCTTGGGAACACATTGGACGTGTAAATAAATTAGCTCGTATTATCTAGTCTTTACTTGATACAAAAAATAATCATCTAAGCAATAAAGATTCCCAGGCTGTCTTGAATCAACTCTTGGTGTCCTATTCAGAGAAGTTGACATGATGACCTGATTACCCCCTGAGGCATCGGTGCTGGGGAGAATCAGAATGGTACAGTTGTCCCAAAATGCTTTAGCGCTTATCTTCACTTTCAGATAACCTATCAGGGCTATAACACTCGGTATCGCAGCTACTTATCAGTCATGCTTGGGGATCAGAGTAAATGGATAAGAATAGATCATATATATGTTTTAACAGCTGATTACAAGTTCAGTAGTAAAGAGATACTTGGAGAAGGCTTAGTACTGGGAGAAATTCTACCTATGATGGATCCCTAGCTTGCCAAAAGCAGTGATGAAGTAGTGACTGATGGTACATGATAGCGATGGTTGGAAGCAGCGCCTCTACCACGATAGTTCACCCGATGGAAAGCTCATTTCCCTCGTAGAAAGACGTAAATCCCTATCGCGACAAAAAGATCAAACTATTGTCAGACGAAGCTGTGTGTACAAGTTGCCATCTCATCTTTGTCCGTCAGTTTATCGCTGTTCATTACGAAATGACGCCCTCCCCCGCTGTCCCAACCCCTCTCGCGTCAGATTCGGCCTCCGCGCCCGAGAAAAACGCGAGGAACGCCTCCACAGCCAAGCTCCGCAGCTGCGTTGTATGTCGCAGTCGTAAAGTGCGCTGCGACAAGCTGTCGCCATGTTCAAACTGTCGCAAGGCTAATATTCCCTGCGTGGTGCCCTCCAATGACCGTCCGCCAAGATGGGCACGGCGCTTGGAGCGCATCGCCGATAATGGACAGGGTGTCGCAGGACAGGGTGCCGGTGGCTCTGGTACGGATCAGGTTATGAATAGACTGCGGACGCTGGAGAATTTGGTCAAGGAGTTGAGTGGACAGCTTGAGGTGGCTAATGCTGCTGCAAGTAGGGGTGCGTCTTCGGATGCTCCGTCGCCTCAGGATGTCGTAAAGGACGCAGCTAGTCCGTCGTCGACATCGACGGCTTCAGATGTACAGAAACATTTTGGGAGAATGGTGATCAAGGATAAGAATAGAGAGAAGTATGTAGCTAGTGGCTTCTGGTCCCGTATCAGCGATGAGGTACGTCAACTCCAGCCTTGCTTCTTCCCGTTTATCGCTCTGACTGCCTGCAGCTCGATGGGTTAAAGATGGACACTCGTACGATGGCAGATGACGATGAGTCTTCCGAAGATGAAGACTTTCCGGTCAGCACTCCCTCAACTCAAGAACTCTACCGAGAACCATCGGAGCGGCATGCTTTCTTGTTTCGAAACAGCCAAGCTCCTGCATCGCCTGGCGAACAGGACTTCAGTCCGTTACCATCACAGATCCCCTTCTTACTGGACGTATTCGACGAGAACATCAACCTCATCATGCACATTGTGCATATGCCGAGCATCAGAAAGATGGTTCGTCCTTCACCTGGGACAGCGGCCAAGGTATCTCTCAAGCACCAAGCGCTGCTCTTCTCCATCTACTATGCTGCCATCACGTCCATGGAAGACGATGATGTGCTAGCCAATTTTGGATCTACGAAAACGGAGCTCAATATGAAGTTCCGTCGAGGCCTTGAACAGGCTTTGGCACGAGCAGACTTCCTCAACAACCCGGACATTGTCCTTGTTCAGGCCTTGGTCATCTTCTTATCTCTCGCGAGGCGGTACGATAGCCCTGTCTACGTTTGGATGATGACTGGTTTGATGATTCGTATGGCTCACGCTGTTGGCCTTCATCGAGACGGTTCAAGGTTCCAGCATCTATCACCGTTTGAAGTTGAGCAACGACGTCGTCTTTGGTGGATGATCATTACAGTTGACATTCGTGCGTCTGAAGATCAGGGGACTGAATTCTCAATCACACAAGACAGCTTCGATACCAAGATACCTCTCAACGTCAACACTTCGGATATTGAGCCCGAAACGAAGGAGACTCCTCCAGAGCGCAAAGGCGTCACAGACATGTCTTTCGCACTCGCCATGTGTGAACTAGCCCGAGTTTCGAGGCAGTTGATGGCATCGAGTATTCACTCATCTGGGCCTACCCTCGGGGAGCAGGCTAAGCTGCTCGACGGTATCCAAGAAAAGCTCGAGAATGGCTACCTTTTCCGCTCCGCACATCCAGAAGATATAGCCAACTGGGTCGGGATCGTGTGTACGCGGCTTGTGCTTTCCAAGCTGACACTCTTAGTGTATCTTCCGTCGCTTTTTGCGTCACCAAATGAGCGGTTCTCGGACGAGATTCGAGACAAACTGCTTGTCGCCGCTATTGAGGTCGCAGAGCATAACCACGCGCTCAATGCTGAGACGAAATGCCGTCAGTGGCGATGGATCTACCAGACGTATACTCACTGGTATGCCATTGTATGGCTTCTGATTGAGATATCCAGACGGCAGTGGTCACCTACTGTTGAACGCGCATGGGTAGCTCTGCACAGCGTCTGGCTGATACCGTCGCAGCACAACATGACCAAGAATGCGCGTATGTGGGTTCCACTGCGTCGATTAATGGCTAAAGCGAGAAGTCATCGGGACGAGCAATTGGTGCAAATTCGGAACAGCCCTGCTGTGATCGAGACTCTGGAGCAGGCTGATCGCACCCTTCCTATTCCTGTCAGCCCGGAATCATCGCAGGAGGCAAATTTGCAGCAGCGGTTTCTTGAGCATTGGCGTTCCGCTGTCGGCAAGACTACCTATGGCACTTCCGAGCAACCTGTGCCTCGAACCGGTGAGAGCAACACAAAGCAATCTCTAACTAATCAGGCCATGGGTGACAATGCCACTCAGTGGGCAAACCCCTCGTTCGACTTTGCCTCTTACCACCCTGGTCTTCAGATGGGCGTAGCTGGTGATATAATGCCAACAGAGATGACCATGCTTCGCCAAACATGGGCCGATGGCCAGCCTGGAGATGCAGATGTTGCGTCGTGGCTTTGGACCGACATGGATCAAAGTGGCAACGGATTAGGAGACATCGATATCAATATGGATATTGATACTGACATTGACTGGAACACATGGCTACAGTCTGCTACAGGCATGGAATTGAATGCAGGAAACACGGGGCCGTCTTGATGGATTTGGGCAGTGGGCCTCAGAACTTCAGCCCAAGAATGATGCTCGCATGGAGCAAATACGAATCAAGATAACATAAGGGTCGTTTCGACCATCAGGTGCGAAATACTCGAAGGCTAATCTAATACATCATGTGTATCCATTCATGTAGCAGTGTAATATCTACGCGGTTACTACAGTCTTTGACTAAAGTCCTCCGAACCATACAGCTCCTTCTGACGCTCAAGCACAGCCGGGTGACGAATCACTCCTGGTTTCAGCTTGCCAAAGTCCAAGTCAACGCCCTCTTCCATATATGGAAAGGGACCAAGAGGTGTAATAGCAAGAGGATTGATCTTGTAATGGCTTTTTGTATACTATACCCCCAAATTAGTCCTATCCAGGTAGATTAGTTATGCACTTACGTTTTCCTTGATATGCCTGAAGTCTGTCGTCTCTTTGAAACCTGGAAAATTCCAGTAGAGGTTCTTGAGCCACTCATGAATGACTGGGTAGTTGGCGCGAATGGTTCCGAGGTCGCACTTGAAGTGGCCAACATACACAACATCAAATCTGACGACAGTAGCATACGCGCGTATGTCAACTTCGGTGAGCTGCTTGCCAAGGATATAGGGTCCTCCATTTTGGTGGATCAGTGCCTCAAGCTTGTTAAGTGCCGCGAAGACTGTTGGCACATTATTGTTGTAGTCCTCCTGGGTCGTTGCGAAACCGGCTTTGTAGACGCCACTGTTGAGGTCTCGTTGCATCCAGATATTGATGCCGTCAATGGTCGATCTCAAGTTTTCCGCATAGAGGTCAACGTCTCGCCCGGGGCTGTTCGAGTCAAGGATGGAATCGAAGGCTGTTGGCAACCAACGAAGCAATTCGTGGCTCTCATTATTGACCATTCGATTCTCCTTCTTATCCCAGAGAACAGGTACGCTGTACCGACCTTTATAATCAGGATCATCTCTGAAGTAAACTTCGTGCAAATACTTTGATTTGAAGAGGTGATCTTCGGTAGCCCCTTCATAGAGATCATCCGGAGGACTCGGAAACTGCCAACCCGGCCATCCCTTATCATCACCTTTGGGGTATGGCTTCACGACGGATAAACTGATAATATCTTGAAGACCTTTGAGATGCCGAACGAGATTTGCTCGGTGAGCAAAAGGGCAGAACAGTCCAATGTAAAGATGGTAGCGGTCCTTCTCTGGCTGGAATGGGCCATCCGAAGTAATGAGCCCATGCCACGAGTCGTCAGGGCCACTATGGACAGTCATCTTATGAGCTCAAATTAACGAAATGATGCATAAAACTTGTGTACCTGTTACTTACGAGGATGTGAGGTTCGTATGGTGAGATGGGGTGCTTGACCCCGCTTGATGACGGATAATCGGAATTTAGAGTCCGGTTCCGGAACTGGCCTCGGAACTGAGCTTTATTGACCTATGCACCAGGCATTTATAGTGTGTAGTTAATAGAAACTGATAGAAATAAGCCGTGTATGAGTTGAAGATGCCATGCTGAAGTACTAGTGAGTTCCATGGTATATAATTGCGATTGGATCACAACGAACAGGGATCATAGTTCAGAGACTCAAAACGATACAGGACAGTCACAGAAATGGAATTTGAGAGAATAACATGTTTGATATAAATGATAGTATGTAGTGTCAGGTCGCGTTCGCCTTCCACTTTCTCAACCTAAGTATTGAAGAACAGGATTAAAGAGAGTAGAAGAAGAGAAGAAACCACTCAACGACAGATGTCAAAGACTCAGAGTAGAAATCATAAAGTTAAAAAGTGAAACAGAAGTTCTCTCTTTGAGATGTTTGAGAAGTGAGGAAACGAGTGTTGATTGCCTTGCGTGAACATCCTCCAAGCATTGTCATCATCCTAGCACATAAGCCACAAGTCCTCTGGCCCAGTGATCCCAGACTTGGGGCCAGTCGTAAGTGTGATTTTTCATCAAGTAAGATCAAGCTGAGCTTTTGTTGAAGCATGGAAGGATGGCCCTGAGTTGCTGGCCTAAGTAGAAGGCTTATCGGGCTTGCCAGGTCCAGATGGTTTGCCGGGACCGTCAGGCTTACCTGGACCATCAGGTTTACCAGGTCCAGGATAATCAGGTTTACCAGGACCATCAGGCTTACCCGGGTGGGCTGGCTTACCAGGTCCTGGGTAATCTGGTTTGCCAGGATGATCAGGTTCACCTGGATGGTCTGGCTTACCCGGATGATCTGGCTTACCAGGTCCAGGATAATCAGGTTTGCCTGGGTAATCAGGTTTACCCGGGTGATCGGGCTTTCCTGGATGATTGGGTTTACCGGGTCCAGGATAGTCAGGCTTGCCTGGGTGATCAGGTTGATGAGGCTTAGGTGGGTAGTGAGGCTCAGGCTTGTGCGGCTTGGGAGGGGGATAGTGAGGCTTTGGCTCATGAGGCTTAGGCGGGTAGTGAGGTTCTGGCTTGGGATGCTTAGGAGGATAGTGAGGCTTCCCAGGCTGGCCAGGGTTATCCTCCCACGGCTTATGAGGTTTGCCTGGATGATCTGGCTTTCCTGGCTTGGGATAGCCAGGCTTGCCTGGGTGATCAGGTTTATGAGGCTTAGGTGGGTAGTGAGGCTCAGGCTTGTGCGGCTTGGGAGGAGGATAGTGAGGCTTTGGCTCATGAGGCTTAGGTGGATAGTGCGGTTTTGGCTTATGAGGCTTAGGCGGATAGTGTGGCTCCGGCTTAGGATGCCAAGGCTCTGGTTTGTGAGGCTTGGGAGGAGGATAGTGCGGCTTCTCAGGCTGGCTGGGATAATTCTCCCACGGCTTGTGAGGCTTCGGCTTCTCTACACCACAGCCGGGATCGTATGGCTTGGGCTTGTACTCATGGTAGTAGACCTCCCTGCCAGGCTCGGCAACAGGAGCAGAGACAGCTCCCGAGCTCAGAGCCAAGAGGGTAACAGCAGACAGCTTCATCTTTGCAGATGGTTGGCAGGGCTGTGCTGCAGTGAAGAAAAGATTGTAAAGAGATTGTCAAGTCCCTCTAAAGAGTGAAGATACAGTTGAAGAAGTGAAGTTGAGAAAGTGAAAGGCGGATGAGGAGGGACGAGAATAGATTTCGACGGGGAAACGACGAGCTTTTATGTTCGTTTCTCGTCGCTGGACGAGACATTGAGAAGAACCATACAATACCTTTACATTGACCTCGATCAACGTGCTGCACTCCATCGTGAATGGATCGGCTGGGATCGAGTGAAATCCACGTTGAGTTCATGGTGGCATGCCTACCTAAATTCCCTTGGAAAATATTCGACAGGCATGCATCATGATGCCCTAGTTCTTAGCCTCAAATCGATTAGATGGCTAACCTCTCGGATGAGAAATTCCGCCTTGATTCTTAGATGCGATTGGCTTCTACAAGGACATTGATGCTCCAAGCTCGACATGACTGTTTCTGTCGAGACGGAGTTGACACTCTGAAAAAAACTGCCACATGGCGTTATTGCAGAATGGTGTTGTCATTGTCGTCTACCTTCAAGTGGTGGCTTGCTTACCAACAGAAATTTGTGTCTTCTCGTATCATGCATGCGCTTTTGAATGTGGTGTCTTCATGCAGAAGCAGAGAGCAAAGGTTGGGTCACGGTTCCCCTGAGGCTGAATATTGAAACAGTCAAGGGTAAATCCCACCAACAGAATGCTGGGAGTACTTGTGGGGTTACTATGGCCAATTGGTCTTCAGGTGCGGTTCGGACAAATGGGCTCTCCGTGACCAGACAGCCATAGGTCAGCTTTAGATAAAATAACCCAGTTGATGTGAAACAGTAATTCATGGGATAGATCGTATTCATTGACGGTCGAATAGAAATAGAACGAAAGAGCTTTGCTGGCACAAGAACAGCTTCTCACTCCGCAACTTCGGTTCGTTGCTGCTGCTGTACCTTTCTCAGATCTCACAACCCAGTCTTCCGGGGATAATGCTATAAGCATGACACAACACAATATGCTACTCATTATGCATATTGTGTGTAGGAAGAAATGGGTCTGGTCGAGTTGGTCATCCCCAATCAAGACATCGCCAGCGGTTGCATGCTCAGGAATGCGGGTATCAAGCCAAACCGGCCTCAACGTTGAGGCACCTGTAACGGTCAGATCCAAACTCAATTCCGTGTTAGCATCAAGTCTAAGCTAAAATTTATGGTTGTTCTTGTCTCTAAAATGTCTGTCCCTAGAGCTATCAAGCGAGATTTTCCAGGTACCTGAGAACCTGAGACCTAGTTTAGTACGCTGACATGGTTACAGTGTCATCTTGAAGCGGCCATGACTGAGTAAAAGAACTCTATTTAAGCTTTCTAACATGCATATCGAGTCAACCAAGTCTTTCAGCTTAGCCTGACTTGGTATTTTCATCGATCGATTTGGCTCTGGCTGATTCAAGAAAGCATGCGAATCGTACTGAACAAATCCAACACCTAAGTCCTCCATCACCAACATTATATGTGAGTGTAATTGTGCAGGCGCCTCATGCAAGCTCAATCGCGGTATTTCTGTTTTGCATTAGGAGAATATCATTTGGGAGGGACAGCCATTGGTGCCCGCCTAGGAGCTCGTGTCGAGTTTTGTGCATTAATGCATGGCTTACAGTCAAACTTGTATTTCGTGATCTTTAGTCGTTGTCAACATCAACCGACTCCTGAGTCTCGCGCCACTAGTGAGAATTGCGATATTTGTGAGACGTATTGCCTCATTTGTCCACCAACAGAGCGAATGTTGTCGAGAGGGTGTTGCGATCCGTCGCTAGTGCAACTCAGAGCAGGAAACGAAATGGTTGGGCTCCCATCTTGACAATTTGAGGGTGTGATGACCTGTCCAGTTCTGTCTGCACAACATTCAATAGTCTCGTTTAGGGTATTTTTAGCTTTTGTCGGGGACTTTCTTTCGGGCCAATTACACCTCAAAATGGAAGCCCGATCCTGATTTGGCCAGATCACGATATCACGTGAAATGTGAAACAGTTGAGTCCTCGTATTGATTTATACCTGCATTAGTTCAAGGTCTAGGTCCATTCAACTTGAGTTTATCAACATGGTCAAGACATAACCCTTGGCGATGTCTTGCCAGAAGCTCAAACTATTGACTGTTAGATACTCAGCCGCATGCAGTGTAAGCTCTAAACGAGTGTTCTCTATTCATCTAGATGCAGCAGCCTTTACGAAAGATTGCCGATTCTAGTACTTTCTACGATTGAGAGTCCTCCTTCGATCCGAAAACGCTTCAATCGGACTCTTATCATCCATACTTCAACTTAGTTATCCCTACTATGTTTAACTTTATTGCCATGCTCAAAGTCTGTTCCCAGTTATCTCCGTGAGTCTTATGCCATCTATGGTTTCCGCACTCTGGCGGATCCCTAAAATGACAATGGAGCCGTGTAACGTGAGAAGCATTGTAGAGTTCCACAACCTCGAGTCTTCAATGATTCATGGTAATTAAGTTAGGAGGGCAATATCCTCACCCCTTGCTCGTCTGGTCGCCATGGCCATATGTGCAGACAGAAATACTCTGATTGGATTCGCATCAGCTTAGTCGTCGGCCCTGGTATTCAAGTCCACTGCCAGCCAAGGAGAGGTAATACACACTATAGTATGGTTTTCGTCCATGGCACTAATACCTGCAAGTGTCCACACAAAAACACTATCGCCATAAATGGAAGCCATTCCTTACTTGGTAAGTTGCCTGATGTCACTGTATGCAATGACTCTGGTACATCTCATGTTTACGAATCAACCGCTTCTCTCCGTCCTTCCAACTAATTGCGGAGGTTAGCTGAGGAGTGAGGCCTCATCGGTACAGCTCCCTCCTTTCACGTCAGGCTGGGCATCGCGTACCAATGAGATGCACATGTAACGGAATGAAGGCCTTCAGTTAATGCCGATCGACGCCCGAGCTGTAAAGTTCAAACTGCCTTTCGACGTGTCGCAGGATTGGATAATGTACTTCCGCAGGGTGCCAGCTTTCGTCGCGGTACGGATTCTGTATTCCTGCTTAAGCTCCGTGCATTAGATTTTTGCTCTCCAACCGCTGAAGAGACAGTATCTTGCTCAGGTTTACTCAAGGAGTTACAAGCTTACTGCAATAATGGCGATCAGCTGAAAAGAACATGCTACAGAAGACAGACCACTGTACATCAGATGCTGCTACATATTCACTTGTCGTGTGGTGGTTGGTTGATCCATCGTGATCCTGACACAAGCCATGCTCTTGTTGAGGTTGATCTTGTCTGGATAACAGTGAGACGAAGCTCAAACTCTTTATCTATAAGATCGCGATAGTAGCATATGCAAGTAGTGCAGTGAGAGAGGCTCAAGAGCATCAAGTGAGGATATCAGCTGTATGGTTCTATTTGAAAGACGTAGTTTAGTCTATACCTTGTGAGAGTCTGAGCCTTCCACGGATAGGGCTCATTGTTTCCAACCAGTTATTGCAACATTGTCCCAACCCAGAATATCACAACTGATGGTACCCTTGAACTTTTGGTACTTATTTCCAGTAAAGACCATATAACCAATGCCTGATTGAATCGCGTCGAGTGGTGAATGATCCTCTGGGACTACATCCGATTCAGGCTTTACAAGTACTTTTCCTCTCCATGAAAGCCAGAACTTTGGTTGTCGGAAGGTATTCTTCTCGAAATTGTCAGACCGCAGCTCTTCAGTGGCCTTGCAGTCATGGGGCTCTTTCGGGCGATCATCTTCATCTCCCGAAACCTCAGATGATTGCTGTTCGGGACAGGTCTCGTGTTGTTGATTATCAGCGTCAGAGTCATCCGCTGATCTTCTCCCAGGGCTATATGCTATGCTTTCAGCATGGCAATCTGGTTCCTCCGAGATATTTGCCCGATCCAGGATCTCATGGATTTTCTTCCGACTTCCGGCCATGACAAAAGAAGCATCCAACACGGCAGGAAGAAATAAGTCGCCCTCCAACCCATCTTCCTCATCTGTAAACCGATGGATCTCAAACCACGGCGAGTTCGCGGGGTGACGTTTATGCTTTACGTCCCTTTCATCTTTGGCTGGACTGGGATTGCATTGAGAGGTACGACCCAGAGAATGAGCTTTGGGACATTGAAGTTGGTATGAGCCGAGGATTCTTGTAATGCTTAAGGGGCTAGAAACCTGTGGTGTGAATTTGCGAGACTTCCGATTATGAAAGGCCCGCGAAGAGAGTATTTCCTGCTGCCAACATTCATCCATTTTAAGAGGAAGAGCATAAAGTGATAAAGTTGGAAGATGGGCGCTAAATGCAAGTAGATATGTATGACGTTGTAAACTGTCCCTCAGGATCTGAGTGTACTCTTGAGGTACTTTTATGGGGCTTGACCTAGTATTGATTGGCTGCCGATTGATGCGGCATATTAGTAAGGCAATATGTGTTGAACCGGGTGAACCGGGATAGACCGTTATAACTAGAGAGTTGCTAACTAAAGGTGGCACACCTTGTTTTTGGCCTGACGGTTTAATAATATGTATTAGTTAGTTCTTAATTATAGATAAACTCAGCCTTGCTAGGTCTTTTATTAGTAGATTATATAAGATATATAATTAAGTTTATTAAAGGAATATATCTTTTAATAAAAGATTTAATATATATTAAGCTTAATTAATATAAAGAAGTTGTATTAATAATTAATAAGCTAAAATTTATAAAAATATAAATAAATATATTTTATATATTAAAATATTAATTATTAACTAATTAATTATTTTAAAGTTAAAAGGCCTATTTAATAATATATAAAGTAAAGCTAAAGTTATTAAAGTAAAATAATAAAATAAGGTATTTATTTTTAATATAATATAATATAAGATATTATACATTATATTAAAAAATATAATAACCTTAATATTAAGTCTTAGTAGATTATATAACTATTGCCTTAAACCTTAAGATCTAATTAAATAAATAGCCTAAATTTATAAGTATAAAAAAGATATTTTCCTTATCTTTAAAAAGCTAAATATTCTCTTTATTATTACCTTATTAAGGTAATTACTACTAAGGCTCTAATACTAAAAGGCTATATTAAAATAAGCTAAGAACCTTAACTTTTATTATAAGATATATTATTATATAATTATTATTAATAATAATTAACCTAGTTATAGCTATTTAATCTTACTAATTAATAACTATATAATTAATCCTTTAATAGATATTAATAGGCTTAAGTTTAAGTATATTCCTATTTTATATTTTTTTCTATAATATTATAAAGTTATAAGAAAATACCTATTATATATTAATAAATTACTACTAATATAATAAGTTAATTTAATAAATTTTAATTATTAAATAAAGCTTTTTTAGTATTAAGGAAGATATATCTCTTATAAAATATATTATAAGCTAGATAAAGGTATTAAAAGACCTAGCTAATTACTTAAAATATAATTAAGGTATATTAAGGTAATAATAGGCCTTTATTAATAGTATTATATTAGGTAGTAATAATAGCCTATATTAGGTATAATCTATAAAATTAAAATATATAATTAAGTTAATTAAATTAATAATATAAATATTTTATTATAAGAATTAAAGGCTATTATAAGGTAAAAAAGGGGAAATAAAGGGGAAAAGAAGAGGAAAAAGGCAAATTAAAAAAAAAAGATTTTAGTATTTAAGGGAAAATTATAAATATTAGTAGATTAAGGCTAGCTTAATAAGTTAGTCATAAATTAAATTAAGTTATAAGATAATGTAATAAGAGAAATATAAGTTAAGGATAAATATAATTAAATAATACTTAAGACTAATTAATTATAATTATCTTTAACTTATATTTTTCTTATTATATTATTTTATAACCTAATTTAATTTATTATTAACTTATTAAGTTAGCCTTAATTTATTAATATTTATAGTTTTTTCCTAAATATTAAACCCTTTTTTTTTAATTTACCTTTTTCCCTTTTTATTTCCTTTTTTTTATCTTATAATAGCCCTTAATTCCTATAATATAATATTTATATTATTAATTTAATTAATTAAATTATATACTTTAACTTTATAAACTATACCTAATATAAATTATTACTATTACCTAGTATAATTCTATTAATAAAGGCCTATTATTACTTTAATATATTTTAACCTTATTTTAAGTAATTAAATAGGTTTTTTAATACCTTTATTTAGCCTATAATATATTTAATAATAAATATATTTTATATACTATTATAAAGTTATATTTAATAATTAAAGATTATAAGATTAACTTATTATATTAATTATAATTTATTAATATATAATAGGTCTTTACTTATGGTTTTATATTACTTAAAAAAAAAATATAAACTTAAGATCTTTTTAATAATAATATTATTAATTTTTATTAGAGAACTAATTATATAATAATATATCTTATAATAAAAATAAGGGTTTTTAGCTTATTTTAATATAGCCTTTTAGGGTTAAAGCCTTAATAGTAATTACCTTAAAAGGGTAATAATAAAAAGGGTATTTAGCCTACTAAGGATAAGAAAAATATCTTTTTTACACTTATAAATTAAGGCTATTTATTTATTTAAATCTTAAGGTTTAAGGCAGTAATTATATAATCTACTAAGACTTGATATTAAGGTTATTATATTTTTTAATATAATATATAATATAATATATTATATTATATTATATTAAAAATAAATACCTTATTTTATTATCTTACTTCAATACCTTTAGCTTTATTTTATATATTATTAAATAGGTATTTTAACTTTTAAATAAATTTATTCAATCTTATAAAATATTATAAAAATTCTTAAAAAATAACTATAAATTAAACCTATTATTAAGAGTTAAGCCCTAATTTAAACCACTGCCTTTTTACTAACTTTACTTTATTTATTCTTATATATAAGGTTAATTAGTTATATACCCTACTATATATATTTAATTAATAGAGGCTAGTTATAACTTTAGGTTAATTTAACTTTTATTAACTAACTTATATAAAAGTTAACCTAATTCCTTTAACTTTCTATAAAACCCTGCCTTTACCTTATATTTATCTAACTCTATATATAGACTCCCTATCTATAAGCCCTTACTAACTCAGGAGCAGCTCCCCCTTAATAGTAATAACCCTTTTAGATATATTAAAGAGCTACTCTTTATATATAACTAAGTTACCTATAAAGGCAGTACAAAAGGCTGCCTAATCTAACCAAAGGTAATAACCTTCTCTTAGGCCCCTTTCTAGGTCCTTAAGACCTAATAGCTTAAAATTAACCTAATTTAAATTAATTAAACTAATATAATACCTCTAATTTATATAACTAATTAGCTAGATTAGGCTATAATTAAAGATAGCTATCTTAATATGGTTAAATTTATATCTTAATAAGAAGTTCTTCCTAATAGTAGTTATTATTATATAAATCTCTTTAAGTTCTTCTTTACTAGCTATATCTAAGGCAGGCCTAATAGCTAGATTAAGGTTATAGCTAGTTATATAATAGGCATAATTATATAGCTATAAGCTATTTTATATAATAGGTATTAAGGCAATATAGCTATTATACTATTAGTAAGAAGGGTTAAAAGCCAGGTCAGGAAACTTACTTTATAATAAATAGACTAGGTATATATCTTAGTCCTTTAGGTAGGATAAAGGAAGAAGGGTAACCTAGCTGCTAAGAGCTAGTATTAATACTGCCTAGTTAAGGCAGTAATTATACTATTAAGGCAGATAAACCTTATATAATTTTAAATTCTATAATAATAGCCTACTATAAGGGTCTTACTATTTAAGCCTTTATAGAAAAGTTAAAAAGCTTAATAGCCTTATATAAGGCTAATAATAAGGGGAAAAAAAAAAAAGAAAAAAAGAAATTAAGAGTTAAGTTTTATTTAACTTTTTATATTTTATTTCTTAAATTAGTAATAAATATAATTTAAGTTAAAATAAGTAATAAATTATAAGAAATTTTAAAACTAAGAGTTTATAAAGTAAAAGTAATTAAAAATACTTATATAATTAATAGCTAAATAAAATGCCTTATAAAATAAAATAACTCTTTAAAAAATAAAATCATATAAGAATTATTAAAATACCTTATTAATACCTAATAACTCCTAAAGAATTTTTATTAACCTTAAAACCTCTTAAAGGCCTAATATTATTAAACTTATTACTAAGGCCTAAGGATACCTAATTAATATTATTAAAAATACCTAATAATTAAAGATTATTAACTATTTATTTCTTATAAGATTATAAAGTAAGGAGAATATTATCCTCCTTAGTAAATTCTTATATTTCTTAATTAATTAACTTTATATTTTATTCTTTTATATTCTTTTTAATCTTATAAATTTATTACAAATAACTTACTCCCTTAGTTAAAAAAGATTATAATTTTATAAGCTTTTTATGAAGAATTAATATCTTATTATTAGCCTCTTTCTCTTAAGCTTTTTATTTCTCTTTTTAGTTTATTAAATAATTTATTATAAAAATTAATATATTATAAAAAGACCCCTATGTATATTAATAGTATATTAATATTCAGCTAATTTATTAAATCTATTATATATTATATCCTATAACCTATTTAACCCTTCTTATACTACTAATATTAATACTATAACCTTAGGGCTTTAACTTTAGGAAATTAAATTTATATAAGACCTAATATATTTTCCTTTTAAATAAAGGTCTTAAAACCCCATAATTATCCTTTTTTTATTTATATTATAATATATTATCCCCCTTATCTTAATTATACTCTTATAATTTAAGATTATAACTAGTTTATTATAGTTATTTAATTAACTTTAATACCCTCTTAGCCTGCTCTCTAATAGCCTTAAGCTACTTATTATATAAGCTGCCTAGGCAAAGAACCTTAATAAATTCTCTTTTTTTTTAACTTAAATGTATTTTTCTAAGTAACTTCCTTTTAACTATATTAAGTTTTTTTATTTTAAGATTAAAAAAGCCTTTATTAATTAGCTTATAATAAGGCTATATAAATAAAAAGATTTTATAATTAAAAAGTATTAATATAATATAATTAATATTATTTTTATTTTTTTATTTTTTTTTATTTTTTATTATTATATTATAAAGCTTCTTATTTAATTTTATAAATTATATTAAAATATTTTATTTAAAAAAGCCTTAAAAAGATATAAAAGAGATATAACTTATATTTTATTTACCTTATATAATATATTATAAAAAGGATAAGATAAATAAAGGTAATATTATTAAAAATAAATACCTACTTATACTAAGGAAATTAAAAATAATTAAATAATATTTAGAAAT